ACCTAAAAGCAGCTTTTTTTAACAGTAGTTACAGAACCTAAAACGAATACAGCAGTCTCAGCTGCTTTCATATTTCCCTGCTCTTTTAACAGTTTTATGGATGGACAAGACCAAAGCTTTGATTTATCGTTCCAACGCTTCTGGCAAGTACTGCACTGCAACTCAGAGCACCTGCGACTGCCACTTAGTAAACACCATAAGCAGTGTTATGATAATAAATAAAGCATGGCCTGTTCTGAGCAGCTGCCAGAAAAGATGAAGGGACTTGCGCTCTTTGACCAGATCCAGTCGCTTTAGCGGGGACGCTTCTAAACATACACCTGCAGGGCAAGAGAGGCTGCCTTCCCCGGCTGCGCCCAAGACCCAGTGCCGGCAGCTGCTGCGCCAAATGCCGGCGGGAAGAGCTGGAGAACTGGGGATGTTTAAGAAAAACCACAGTCACCCCCTGGAACACCTTACAAACGGAGAGCTTGTGGTTAGAACCTAACTCTGCAAAATCTGAGGTTTAAGTGCAGAAGTTCCCTTCGCCGTTTCTCTTTTTGGGGAAGGGGGCGGAGGGAGGAGTTGCATGTCCAACATCCCATTCCTTAAACACATACGAGGTGTACATACGACACGAAACACTCCATAGAAGGAACGTTTCAACCTGTTTACGCAGCCAACGCTGCCGGTTCCAAGGAAAAGCCAGGTCATACATTTCTTCTCATACCGTAGGCCTGCTGCACTGAAGAGTAAGGGTAATCCTCTAGCAAATATGAAGACCGGAGAACAGCTATTTACATGAAATATCATACAGGTACCTGTATTTGTATTCAACTGAAACAAAAAGAGCTCTGTATACTCTCCATAATCCTCTAGGTCTTTCAGAATGAGGATGGCGAAAACAAAGCAAGTTTCCACCGCCCTCCTAAGCAAAGTATTTGAACAGAACCGGGTTTGACTGAGATGGCAGACATTGACACCTGTGCTTCTTTACTCGATATGGAATAATTAACACTAGACTCATGCAGTGTATATACAAACCTCCTTGGACTGACTGGCCTTCGCTATGGCGTCCTGCGTCAAGCGCTCCTGAACCAAAATGCGAATTGCCTAGGAAAAACATTGGAAAGCGAGAGTAATTAATTGATGTCTTGATGCATTTCTCGGCAATTCCAAGGGAAAAGGAGCCAACATTATAACCCAGCATAACCTCAAACCCACAGTTTTGTGAAAAGATGTTTTGGAAAACTCTTTCAGACCTTCAACCTTTTCAAATAGCACTATTCTTTGCAAGTAGTGTCTTGCACAGGTGTAGTCTCTTTGGCTGTGGGAAGGCAGCTTAACCAGAAGAGACAAGGACATTACACTATTAATTTCATCCACTGCTGGGCCAGAAACTGCAAGGTACTAGGGACTCTCAAAGCCTGCAGTTTCCAGAACGACCTGATCGCGATCCCAAAGCGGCAGCACCATTTTTCTGAGATCGCACACCTTTAATGCTGCAGCAATACAGCTTCTTCAGGAAGGAAAGCCTGCTATCGGCATCTTTCAGTAGGTGCTGAACCATCTTCCACATGCAGAGGAGCCTGGAGCAAGGCTACCCACCCAGGTTTTAAAAAGACTGAGAGCAGAAAGGGATTATTTTTAGACACAGGAACAAGAACAGCCCTGATTTTAACAATCCTTCTGCTCATCTGTTTTTACCGGCTCCAGTACATAGCACAAAATCATATCGGAGCTATCAGTTACTGATACCTACAGCTGTAAACGCCTCTAAAAATAACTGAAGGAATACCACGCAGGCAGACTTCCACCAGAGAGAACCGAGTCTGTCAAACACATTCCTCAGACTTCCCCTGATGAGCAGCCAAATGTGACAGAAGCAGTCTTACTGCTTCATGTTTCTCTTCCAGGATTTGGTCATGATTAAAGTTGAGAGGCGATACTAGAAAGTTGCCACTGAATACTTCTAGAAATCTTTCTAACTGAAGGGAGTAGCCTGGACAAAAGAGTGATTTGATGAGGACTTTGAATTGCAGCAGTGAAACCAGACCCTGCGTAAGAGAATGTTGAGTGCCTTTTGCATTAGAAAAAGGATATCCAACTGCGTTACATATATGCTTTCTGATCAACTTGCCAAGTTCAAATAAATAAAATGGGACGCTGAATATCTCGCTGCTGACTCTGGCCAAGGTCTGGCCAGATGTCTGTGGCACGCTTGCACCCTTTGGCCTTCCGTTCCAGAGTGTCCAAGCCTGAATAGGGATCGTAAATTCTCCGCATGCGCACTGCAAACCTGCTTACTGTGGTGTAGAATTAAGAGTTTCACTGACACATTCTAATACCATCAAACCCTGAAAACTAGCATTACGTTGTTCACGTAACATGAATTGCCATTGCAGGAATCTATTCTCACTGTAATTAAAAGCAAGAAAATTCAG